AACAACCACCCAATAAAGCATTACAATAATCTAAGCTTGAGGTCATGAACGCATGAATTAATATTAACATTATGCTTGACATTGAGAGCATAGTTCATAATTTAAATATATTTTTGAGATGGAAAAATGCAGTTTTACAAATGCTAGAAACGTGGCTTTCAAAGGAAAGAGTGCTATCAAATAGCACACCTAGGTTCCTAACTGATGACAAAGAATTGACAGAGCAGCCACAGAGTCTTAGACAGGGTTCTAGGTCATTACATGTGGAGGTTTTAGGTCCGATAATTAACACCTCTGTTTTTTCAGAATATAGCAGTAAGAAATTATTCGTCATCCAGTTTTTTACTATGCTCTATCCAGTTTTTTTTAACACAACTATGCATTCCATTAGTTTTTCAAATTGGTATGTTTTGCCGGGCTGCGAAGAAATATAGAGCTGAGTATCATCAGCATAACAGTGAAAGCTAACACCGTGTTTCCTGATGATATCTCCCAGGGGTAACATGTAAAGCGTGAAAAGTAATGGCTCTAGTACTGAGCCTTGAGGTACTCCATACTGCACTTGTGATCGATATAATACCTCTTCATTCACTGCTACGAATTGATGGCGGTCAGATAAGTACGATTTGAACCATGCTAATGCACTTCCACTAATGCCAACAAAGTTTTCTAGTCTATGCAAGAGAATGTTGTGGTCAATTGTGTCGAACGCAGCGCTAAGATCCAGTAACACTAATAGAGAGATACTACCACAATCAGATGATAACAGCAGGTCATTTGTAACTCTAATGAGAGCAGTCTCAGTACTATGATACGGTCTAAATCCTGACTGGAAATCCTCACAGATACCATTTTTCTCTAAGAAGGAACATCATTGTGAGAATACTACCTTTTCTAGTATCTTGGACAGAAAAGGAAGATTCAAGTTCGGCCTGTAATTAGCTAGTTCTTTGGGGACAAGTTTTTTTTTTTTTAATGGGGACATATCCTAATGACTATGATGAATGTATAATAGCCAGAAGAGGATCTATGACTTCTGGAAGCACCTCTTTTAGGAGCTTAGATGGAATAGGGTCTAACATACATGTTGTTGGTTTAGATGATTTAACAAGTTTATACAATTCTTCCTCTCCTATAGAGAATGAGTGGAATTGTTCTTCAGGGGATCTATAGCGCACTATCCAATGTGATACTGTAGCTGACGGCTGCATGTTTACAATTTTATCTCTAATAGTATCGATCTTGGAAGTAAAGTAGTTCATAAAGTCATTACTGCTGTGCTGTTGAGAAATGTCAACACCTGTTGATGCTTTATTTTTCGTTAATTGCCACTGTATTGAATAAATACCTGGG